GATATTCTTCCGTTGCATATTTGCGCTTTCTCAGCGCTGTATAATAAACCTGCGCAGTACGAATCATAATTTATTTTGCTACAATTGCTAATCTATGATTTCCGTATGTATATTTTATATATAAAGTGCTAAAAATTATAATTTCTATATAATAATATGAAGTTTATGATTTATTTTAGCAAATAATTACGTACCTAGAAATCCTATTTTTCTGTTATTAATACGTGCAAATATCACTACATTCAAGGTTCTACAACCAGTTAAAACTTTTATTGCATTATTTCATCGTCGTGGTATATATTACAGTAAAGTATGATATTGCTGTAGTAATAAGCTAAAAAAATATTTTAATTTTTTAAAGCAATCATAAAGATTTGATTATTTGAAATAGTTTTATTAATTTTTCGAATATGGGTTGAATATAATAAAAAAAAATAAGATTTTTTTCTAGACAATTAGTTTACTGTTCGCTATAAAGTATTTATTACTGTAGAAAATCCTTCCAGAGATGTTACATAAATATAGCCAAGTGTTAGAGTGTGAGTTTTCAGAGAATTTTGCATCACAAATAAAAGCAATTTTTGTATTGGTATTAGAGCTAAATACCATATTGTATTATACCTATAAATTTATAAAAATATTACATTTAATATTATTTAAAATATTTACTTTTGCTTAGATATGCGTATTCATAGCTTCTATTTTTTACTCATTTTAAAAGTATAACAAAATTTACAAGTATTGTATATGTAAAATATAAACTTGATATCCGCGATATTACAATGTGACCTGATGTCTATATATGAATATCCATGAATGCGTGCGTATGCGCTATGTATCTAAAGATATTATTAGAATTAAAAATCATAACTGTAACAATATATGAAATAATTCTTCTAATATATGAAACAATTTTATTTACTGCTGGAATATCTTATTAATTTCTACTTGTATCAGCAATAATATTCAACATAGAATCCAGCAATATTGTTCAAGTGCTGAGATATTTAATTACAAACGCATGCGCTGGGCAGTCCTATTCTGTCGCGCGCTTGCATTTGGCAGTAGGCTAGGCGAATTTGGCTATTTTCATAAATTAATAACTCGTTAACCATTGCGACAATTGTAAAATGATGAGAGAACTTTTCTTCTCAGTTTAGTCCATTCTGCCCCTGTGAAAGACTTATCACTAATTTTCAATCACCCCGTATATATTATATCACAGCAACTAGTCATAAAAGTATATTGTTCGACCAATCAAGGCCATTGATCAGAGATGCAAAAATTATATAAATATTACAAATTCAAAGCAAACTGACTAAAAATATTATATTTATATTATTTCATACAAATCGTGCAAAGGATTTTAAACATAAACATTATCAAACATCAAAATCCTTTTTGACCGAAAATAAATTTAATTTTCTCATTTTGTGATAGTTAGTAAACATCATTCTAGATTAACAATGTCTCTTTAAACTTTATCAATGTAATATATATAATAGATTATTTAACACATTCAATGTCAGTAAACAAAAGTGAATTCCTTGAAGTTAGGCTAATTTTGTACATTTTTCTAATTCAATATAATGGATCCATTATTATAATTATCAAGTAGAGACTTGGTCTTTTACTATAATTTAACTTCTAAATTTATCATTATTTTTGATGGACATAATAGTTAAACAATTATTGAAAAATGTCATATGATATGTGGACACTGAATTATTCGTCAAATAAATGGATTAGTCAACATTAAAAAAATAGAATATTAAAATTTATAATTATATTTAGAAGACAAAGAAATTTAGAAATTATCATAATAAAAATACATGTAAACAATAACTTTGTATAAATAAATTGATTTCGTTCGTTCGTTTGGAGATATTAATATACATGATACTTACGCGGCATTAAATACTTCTGCGCTATGATCGGAAACTGCTTGTCCAACAAAGTTAAATAAAAATAAAAAAATAAAATGAGCTGTTACTATACCGATATACATTATTATTTCGGAAAATTCCTTTGACACAGTTAATGCATTAAGCTATAAAAATATGTTGTATTACTATAAGTATATTATTTATATATAATGTACGAATTCATAATTATAACAACTGAGTTAAATGTAAAAAATTAATTATAAGAAACGTAAAAAACGTAATACGTACAAAAGTGCATTACTTACTCGAAAAAGATTGCAACTTAAAGACATTACGCTGACTATCACTAAAGGGAAATACCATTTGTTCATAATATTTATAAAAAATGTAGAAAACCTTCAATAGTGAAAAAAAATTCAATCATATTCTTGAGTTAATTGTATATAAAAATGTGATTTTTAAAAATTAAAATTAATGTGAGTTGTGTATAATATTGTAGATAAAAAAATTAATTAAGTAAAGACTAACTGAATAGAATTTCTGTGAATGTGAACAGCACGATTAATTCTTTGACACATCACATGTGTTGTTTTCTGACAAGCAGGAATTTGAAGCGTATGTTGAGTCACTGTTATTTCTATTAAGTTACTGCAAACAATTTTTATATAATCAATAAACAATTAAAGATATATAATTTTCTTCATCAAAATTCAAACACAAGTACCTAGCGATTTTAAAAGTGGCGCAACAATGCCTGATGAGCACGAAAGATAATGTTCCCGTTGCAAGAAGGGTAAATATTCCAATTATTATTGTTATGATTTCACATATTAAATAAACATAAAAATACTGTTCCTCATCGATAAAAAATTCAAAATCTATTTTAACTTTACGTGGTCGAGATTTGTTCATCGGTGTGACAGCGTCAAGAATGACTGGTATCAATTCAATAATTATAACAAAAAATATAGCAAATGCGACGACGACTAGATATTCAAAATAACAAGATAATATACAATCTTGTTAATTATATAATCTTGTTAATTATAATCATAAGGAAATAATAAAAATTTCAAACAAATAAGTATTAATTAACAGCATATCTTAAAAATGTTATTTGTTATCTATTTCATAATTTACTTACAACATAAAATTAGTGACAGTAGACGATTTTCATTAGCATATTTCTCTAATATTCTAATTTCACTATTATCTTCGATTGAATTCCAATCCAATTTTATTTGTTTTAATAAATATTTCACCTATCATATAAACAATTAATGCTTCTGAAATTTCTCGAACTGATGTAAATTAAAAGATTCCAGGTTTAAAAAGGCTCCTCCATAAAAATAAAACTAGAAATTGTACTTACTCCTTTAGAATTAAAATAATAAGAATTATAAGATATAATATATAATATGGTAATGAAAATATATGACAGTTCTTTCAAAATAAATTCCAAATTGCAAGTTGTTGTCAAAAAAGTTGTAAACTGCAACACATAAGTATGATAACTATCGAATTTATGTAGAGGAGAAGATGGTGTAATATTAGTTAGCATGTGTTAGCATATTAGAATCATAATGTAAGAATGAGCCACTAAGCAAATAATTTCATAAGTAATCATTACAATTCATCACTTAATAGCGGAGATATCTATTAGATAGCCAATATATCTACACTGGTCATAATATCACTTTCTCCTCAAAGAATTATTTAAAGAAATATTAAGTATAAGAAGAAAAGGACTGCAAAATACCTGGAATAAAAGAATGAAATAATATGCACCAAAGAAGAACGCAGATTGTACTTGCATAAATGGTGTTTGGTAAGGCCACAAACCAAGCGCTGTTAACATAATTCGATAAATGTTGTAATAACGTTCACCAGAAAAGACCATCTTACTTAGTATACAGAATATGTGCGAATGAAAATATCGTGAAATTACTGAATAACATCGTACTGAATATTTTTTTATTTTCCGCAAGCTGTCTCTTGTAAGAGAAAAATATGTGATAGGCTATGTAATTTAATAATTTTCTATAATTATACAGTGAGAACAAAAAGTGCTATAATTTCATCAACCATTTGAAATAATAGTATGCTACATAAAAACGATTATTTTTGCGGCAATTGTCAATGTTATAAGAAAATATACCATATTATGTTCTTATACTGGCGTAGATCAGAGTAACTTGACGCGAGAGCGCAGTTCACAGTATAACAAAATTTAGTGGACAAACAAATTATATCTCGAAGCAATTAAAAATATCTTGTAAGGTAAAGCATTAGAAGCTTTTCGAAAGCAATGTTCTATTTTGAAGGACGTATTATATATGCACTATATGCGTACATTTTATTTGCAAGAGCCGGCTTGACTGCTGTCGTTTGGACATTCGGACAATCTCACGACACACGCAAAAAATCGCTGATCGCGAATGTAAGTCGGATACTTGCTTAAATAAAATAGTATTATTTCAGCTGGCATGCTGTCTGTTGACACATTCAAAACACGCAGCGATTCTCCGTGCGTGTTCCGCGATCACACATGCCCGAATTTAATTCCCGAATTCTATTGATTACTTTACCTTGCATAAAAAAAAGTTCTGATGAAATATTCTTAGATTTTCATTAAAGTGTTACTTTCAGAAAGGGCAGAACAATTTTAGTACAAGAAATAAATATATATGTGCTTAACATCAACATTGTCTTGTAATTATTATATGTTAAATTCTTATAAATCTCTTACAATTAAATTTTGGTAATTTCTACTTCATATTATATTGATACTTTTAAATATAACTTAGAGATGTAGAATAAATTTGTACAGTAAAAGTCATATGTGCAGATAAAACGTTTATTGTCTACATCATTGAAAATTAGCATTTTGTAAGGTAATCCTTTTCGCAAATTTTTACAGAATTACTAATAAATGGTTAACAAGGTGATGTTTGATGTGCTGCAAACAATTACGATATTAAGTATGAACATACATAAGCTATAATATTATTTTTTTAATTACATACCTTGCAATTTTCTCAATGCATATTATTGAATTTCTCTTGTAATATAACATATGTACTAGCATGACGAAGTATCAGCGATATTACATGGTTATTGTATAGAATAAAGTATTGTTAAATAAGACAATGATGTGGTAACTAGCTATAAAAATATAGTCCTTTTTTCTATTTCTAATTTCAAAAACGGAATTAATTCTAGTTATAGTAATTAATTGAACTATAGTAGATTTGAAAATTATGCAAAATTATACAAAAATTAAATTTTATTTTTAAATAATTTACGTCTTCTTAATTGTTTAATATAACAGACTTTATATTTTAATTTGTTATTATATCTTTTTAATTGTTATACTTATACATATATTACCGTAGCAAAACCTTCCAGCGAAGCCACAAATATATTACAGAGAAGTGGTTTAAAACTTTTCATTGTATGATGTATTAAAAATAAAAATATTTTTTGCGATGATAATGGTGCAATGTACCACAATGCATTACATCTAAAGATTTCAAAATAGATTAAATTTGACTATTCACATGCATATAGTTAAATATAAAATGTATTTATGATTAATTTTGTGTGTTTTTATATGAAATCCGATAAGATGAAGGCGAGAGGAGGAAAGAAGAGAGGGAAAAAAAAAGGAGAGAGAAAGGGAGAAAAAAGGAGGGAGAAAGGGAGAAAGAAAGGAGTAAGCAGGGAACGGAAGGGGGAGAGATAGAATGGGAGTAGAAGAAGCGGCGAGGGAGGGGAGCAGGAAAAGAGAGAGGAGAAAGGAGGGGGGGGGAAGAGAATTGTTATATAACACAACGATGATTTCAATTTATTATCAACATTTCTCTATGTCTTATAAAACTTTTATTTTTATTTCTATATTTTTTTAAATTCAGTTTTTTTAAACTAAATTATACTATTTGTTAAAATAAAAAATCTTTGCACTTAATGTTTTAATAAATACTCACGTTGCTTTAAAAATATCGTCATTGTGGTCGGTTACTATTTGTCCGCCAAAATTGGCCCCAAACATATAAATAAAATGCATTGCCACGAGTGTGAGACTTGATAACAAGTCTGTTATATTTTGTCTCATAAACGATAGAAGCTGCAGTGTTATTACACAATAAGATGTTTGAATGTGATTATTTAATACATTAAATAAAAATATATGTAAAATTTATTAATGTAATTAATTTAAGCAAAGTCATTAAATACTGTACTTACATAATATAAATTAATGCTCATGGAAGCAACGCCAGTTACAATTAAAATAGCAAATGGTATCGTAAACTGTGACAAAATTTGATCAAAGAATCTTTAAAGAAAAAATAAAAGGTTTTTTTAACATATTGATGGGAGATCATTTTGAATTATTTCGTTATAACATTTTCGATAAATATTATGTTAAGTGAAATACTAAAATAATATAAAGTAATAAATATAGTAATAACATAAATTAACATATATTTAAAAGTGTTATAAAATAATATACTAAAAATTGTTTTATTATAAAATTTGTAATAATTATTCTCTTCTTTAAATAAAAAATTAATTTTGTATATTAAATATATCTTTATTTTTTCATGCAATTTGTTGAATTATCGATAAAAATAACGTATCCGTGTTTAATTCTCATTTCATAATTAATACTTAAAAAACTTAATAAATAAATTCACAATATAATAATCATTTTCATATTTGATGCATATAAAAATGTGTGTACAAGTAAATATCATTTACATTTACAATTTTAATTATTTTTTCTCTTACTTTTCTTTTATTGTTATAAATTCAATTTGATACGCACTTTAAAGTCTTCCTATGTAAATCTGTGGCACGTACTATTCTACTGCAAATTATACGTTCCATTTGAGAGCCGGAATTTCGCAGCATGTTCTTGTCTAACACACGTTCTATTCGAAAGCTAAGAATTTTTTTTAATTGATCAAACAATAATTTCATTATACATTAATAGTAATTAGATTTTTTACCTAACAATTTTTAGCATCCCACAAGTATGTTGCGCATAAGCCAAAGTTATTGAACCAGTAGCAAGCATTGTAAAGCCTCCTGTGGCAAGCGCGAAAATTTCGTGTATTAACATAAGAAGATAATATTTGTTAGGATCAATAAAATATTCCATCGGCACCCGTATGTTAAGTGGTCGAGATTCATTCAACGGCATAACAATATCGAGTAAAATAGGCAAGAACTCCGTAAAAGAAAAGACGATCAGGCTGATACATAATAATACTATGAAATATTGAAATAAAATAATCTTTTAGGTGAGTTTTCTGATTAAATAGATGGAGTTAAATAAAGTTCCTAAATATTTTTTCTTTCTTACGCGTATTAATAATCGTAAAAACATTCATTATATAAGCATATTTTTCCAATATTTCGATTTCCTTCTTGTCATCTAAAGCGTTCCAGTCATTTTGTATTTCATCCATCAGCAACTTAACCTATAATCACGATACTTAAGAGCTTTAAAATGATGAATGCATCGTAATATATATATATATATTT